CACCACATCTCCTCATCAGACTTCTTTTTCTAGACTTCAGCAGGGAAGCCTCCTGCGAATTCGATGTTCAAAGTCAGAAGCGTTAACCACTGAGCTATGTACATCCCGTAAACTCTTGTTGCTAATTCATTTTCCTTATTCAACCAACTACTATCAAGTGCANAAAAAGAAGTCTGATGAGGAGATGTGGTGATCTCCGAAATAGTGCTATAACTTCTACCGCTTAGACTTTGTTGCTTTTTCAATTTTTCCTAATAAACAATCGTGGTACAAAGCTCAATAAAAATATTAAAAATAAAATGTTAACAAGCCACAATAACATTGACAAATAAAATTACGTTTAGACACCAGACTACAAGTGTTNAAAAATAGTAAAAATAAAATGTTAACAAGCCACAATAAAATTGACAAATAAAATTACGTTTAGACACCAGACTACAAGTGTTGGTGAACTTTGTTTTTAATCGAGGCATCCATTTGGACACGACTCCCCGAAATCATTGGGCTGCCTCAGCCAACAACGGCAGGAAATCGGCAAATATTGGGCGATGCTTTAACTGCGAGCAAGGACGATTCATTCCGGAGATCACCACAACGGCGGCACAGCAGCATGTACAACAGCGCCCAACAGCAACAACAACGCGCGACAGTAACAACAACCGCCACAGCAGCGGGTTCAACAACGCGCGACTACAGCAACGCCGCCGCCATAGAAGCGGGTGCAACACGCGCTACAGGAACAACAGCAACAACACGCGACAGTTACAATGACGCGCTACAGCAACAACAGCAACAACAACGCGCGAACGTAATAACAACCGCCACAGCAGCGGGTTCAACAATGCGCGACTACAGCAACAACGAGCGACAGTTACAACAACCCGCGAGAGCAACAACAAGGCGCGAATCCAACAACGCGCGACAACGACAACAGGCGCGAAAGGAACAACACGCCACAATGACAGCCACGACAACGGTGCGCGAAAGCAACAACAACGCGCGATTACAGCAACAAAGCACGACATCAACGACGCGCGACAGCAACACCCCGCCACAGCAGCGGGTTCAACAACGCGCGACTATAACAACGACAACCGCCAAAGCAGCGGTCACCACAGGAGCGACAACAACGCCGCTATAGCAGCGGCTAGTGCAACGATGACAACAACGCCCGAAACCAACAACGCGCTAAAGTAACAGCCACGACAACGACGCGCGATAGCAAAACAACGCGCGACAACAACAACGCGCGACTGCAGCAATGACGCCGCCATAGAAGCGGGTGCAACACGCGCTACAGCAACAACAAAGCGCGACAGTCTACAACAACGCGCACAACCACCAGCTCTAACAACTACCAGCTATAACAACCACCAACAACGACACTAGAAGCGACTACAACAACAGCAGTGCCACACACAAGCCTGCTCCAACGGCGGGTGAGTCCCAACTAAGGGAAGTTGGTATATGTAGCTTATTATAAGGAGCTTGTTCATTCAAGAAAAACAAAATAAAAAAAGAAGAAATATGTAGTAGAATTAAATTGTGCTAAGAAAGCAAATTAGATACACTAAAAAAAAAACTTGGAGTAAACCAAAATGTAAACGAAACAAAACCTGAAAAAAAATTTAGTAGTAGTAAACAACTAAAATTTCTAAGTGAAGGCTAACTAAGGACTAATAGCGTATCAAAAGGCATATATATATATTTACTCAGAATAAGGATACTGAAGATTTAAAATAAGATCAGTGTAAATAAACGTAAGAAAACGCGGGGATTTAACAGAATAGAGAGTAAACGTAACAAGTTAGGATTGATTGACTTAGATTAAATGGAATAAAATAAAATTAATTAAAATAAAATAAAATAAAATTCAATAACGTTCAATTAAATCAAATAAATTTTATCAAATTAAGTCAAGCTTAATAAAATAAACTATATTTTTAAATAAACAAATAAATATAACCGCGGAGTAAAATGAATCGCATTTAAAATATACTAATATAAATTATAATCAAATGGAGTTGAATGAAACGAAATCAAATGAAATTACATTAAGTAATAAATAAAAGTAAAACTTAATTAAATAAAAAAAACTAAATTAAATTAAATCAACTTAACTTTACTTAAATAAATAAAATAAATTCAAAACCATAAAAAAACCAACCCTGGACTGAATACCTACGCTAACAAAACCTAAAAGAAAAACATAAATCATATAATAAAGAAATGGCCACAACATAATAAAACAAAATTAAAGTAAATAAATCGTTAGATAATATTAGGATAATATAGAAAGAAAACGAATTCGCTAGCTACAAAAAAATGTACATATATATAGAAAAAATAATAATAATATTTTAATAATAAATTATCAGCCCGATTCTGAATAGGAACTCCCCGGGAATTTTCTATCTTTTTCCTTTCCTCCTATCATAATTAAAAATTCCCAGAGAATTTTTTTTTCCCCCTTTCCTCCTATTCTAAACGAACTTCGAAAAAGGGAAAATGTATTTCGGGGAAAAAGTAGCTAACACGAATGCAAATCAAAGGGAGAATGTGATGACAGTTTTAAATAAAGTTTCCGCCGGAAAAGTGTGAGGGAGCCGTACACAAAAATGTAAGTATTTGCGAACTTTTTAATAGAAAACAATGTTAAACATTTTTTTAGGTCAAAAACTACAAACAAGACCCAATTTGTGATATTTATAAACCCTATGCAAGGTAATCCTGGCATTGCGCAGCAAGGAGGACTTAAACAGATTTTGGAGCAGAGCTGAAGCTGAACTGAATTCGGCTGGCCCACCATCTAAAAATGTTGCAGAGTGGATAAAAGAACTACTTATGCTGACTATACTTTGTTCAAATAAATTTATTAATGTCCAATATCTCAGGTTTGTTCAGATCAGAAAAAATACGTCCGGCAGAAAGCAGCCAACAATAGCAGGCAAAGAAAAGGCCACCGAGAGTCCGATATTTGAATTGATTGGAATGAAAGAATCGTTGATAGGTGTGGCGAAGCCCTTTGGATTGGACGTGGTTGAGACAGACGAAACAGAAGAACCACTACCACAACGAGAAGAAACACTACCTGAACGAGAAGAAAAACTACCGCAACGACAGGAAACAATAACTACACGAAATGAAGCATTTGAAGAAATAGAGGAGGAAATTGAAATATGTGGTATTGGCGAAAACGAGCATAGTTCAGTGAAATTTTTTAAGCCTACACCTGTGCGAAAGGAGGTGCCAAAGCAACAAAGCCATGCTTCTGGTGTGTTAGCCGAAGAGCTTAATATTCAGCGCGAAATGTGTAATATATTAAAAAACGGTATGATTGAGCAAGAGCGAAGCGTGAAGAAGTTATATCGGACGCTTGACAGCTTGTATGTTGTCCAAAAACAACATTTTAAAACGATGGAAAAAATAAAATCTTCTGAGCTTANTGATTGAGCAAGAGCGAAGCGTGAAGAAGTTATATCGGACGCTTGACAGCCTGTATGTTGTCCAAAAACAACATTTTAAAACGATGGAAAAAATAAAATCTTCTGAGTTTAACGCCTTAATGTAACTATGGAAAGGCTTAGACTCAGGGAAATCGAGGACTAGAGGGAAATCTATTGCTGCGGGAGATAGAGGAATTAAAGGAACAACCCAAATATGCAACTAAATAACAAAACTGTTAATCTTTTAATAGTTTTGATAGTCTTTTAACAGTTTTGATGCAATGAAATGTGATTTTATTATAGAAGGCTGATTTTTTTGTTACGAGAATGCGCATACCGTTACTTACAGAAGTATTCATTAATTTTCTATTAAAATATAGCTCATTCTATAGCAATAACTATCAATCTTGCACACTTTGTACAAAATTCGCAACAGTTCATCGAATTTCAAAAAATTATAAACTTTTCAAACTTTAGATCTTTTTTTGAGTATGCAGTTTTGTAGCTCATTATATTTCAGTATAGTAATGTGTAGGCTTTAAGTGACTAGGACTTATCGTTAATTTTTGACAAAATAAATTTGGTTCGTGCGTTAAAATTGCCAAAAATGGACGATAAGTCCTGTTCACGTAATGACTACACATTACTATACTGAAATAGAATCATCTACAAAACTGCATACTCCAATAAAATTCTTAAAGTTCTGATTAAAAAGTTTCAAATTTACTTTTTTGAAATTCAACGAATTGTTCACAAAGTTTGCAAGATTGATTTCTTATGTAAATACTTATTCCCAATTTCATAAAAAATAAAGAAGACTTAAATTGCTTTATAAATCGAAAATTTATATGAAAATGTCTCTTAATAAAGCTCTTTAAACCTATTTGTTTATGAATAAGGACATTAGTATTTACGATTACTAAGAAAGTGATTTTTTTCGTTTTATTGGAAAATATATGTTTGTTAAAAATTAACAGAGGTTATTTTATAGAGAGCTTGCAATTTTGTTTCTAATGCTTTTTGCTACAATTAAGTAGGGGGCGTGACCAGTGATATGACTTCAGCGTTCTCATTATATTGGGTGAAAACTTCTGTTGTTTCTTCGATTATGGTTAAGGATGATTTAAAATATACACATATGTTGTGTAGCGCGCAACACACATTTACAATCTTCGCTGCTTTTTTTGGAGTGTAATGTAACTCCCTTGCTCCAAGAATACACCTCCATCGGTTTTTCAATACTCCGTTAGCTCGTTCTATAATATTGCGGCATTGCGAGTGACCTTCGTTGAACTTCATTTCCGACGAATCATCTCCTGGTGATCTGTAGGTCGTCAAAGGCCATGGCTCCAATGGACAGCCGGCATCTCCTATACGAAGAAATTTGGGTAAAATAATTTGCGGTCTAATTTCACATTCACTACACTTACCTAGAATACAAAAATTTGCTGAATTCCGCAAATACTCGTATTCGAAGTGTATTCTTAATGCACTGATGTTCCACATAAAGGAGTCGTGAGAAGCACCAGGATGCGAGGCGTCTACATATTGAATTCGAAGCTCATGATCACACATCTATAGATAAGTTTAAATTAGTTAAATACGTTTTGCAAATTATAATCAAAGTAACCTACAAGTATAATCTCTTCAGCTTTACACACTTTGATCCACTTTAGACATAAATGAGTTTCGAAAACTTCCAGAACTTCTTCGAGAACTTTGCTGAAGGTTGATTGAGCCAGAGAGACGTCTACATCTTTCACGATTCCTGTTTGGTATCCACCTTCAGCGCAAAAGGGCAAAGATGCGCTAAGTTTAATAATAACCGAAACACCAAATAGCTTTTTCCTTTGCTGCGTGTGCAACACCAAGACGTGGAGTAAATATTTGAAAGCAGCTTTATTTACTCTATAGTACTTCTCGATATCTACGCAAACGTCAAAGCTGTGAAGCTGTGCTTTTTTGTGCTCTGTTTAAATTTTGTGTGGTGCTTATGCTTAATAAAGTAAAAAATTAAAAAAAAATGGGAATAAACGTCTGGTGCACAATTTGAAGATAAGTAAAATATCAAATCTATAAAAATGAAAAAAATATGCAAACACTAATAAAAAAAGGTTGTTGAACTCACAAGGATTGCGGAAACTCGAGCGGATTTGTCTTATCACGCAAATGTCTCCTTACAGCTCTTTGTGGCAGAATATTATCCTCCAATTCAGCTGCTTCTGCCTCTGCAACTATTCGGAAAGCTATAGTGTGCATGGTTCTGGACTTTTTTCCTGTTTTTTCGCAAATCTTTAAACTTTTACTGAAAATAAAAAGCTCTTACGATAATTTCCGCCCGCGAGAACTGTCAAAAATGTATGAAACAGCTGTTTCGAAGTTCGAATTTCCTACTCCCGAAGGATGATTTTTTCCCGAGAAAAAATAAAATCCTCAAAAAGAGAACTCCACGGGAATATTTAGAATCCAGCTGTATTAAATATGTCCCTCACCGTATACTAGAGATTTGTCTTACACCCCTATTCTGCAACTCTTTCGTATTCGGATTTTGCTACGAATCGTAGAAATAGTATGCTGCAATCCGAATCGTATTTTCGAACTTTCGAAATTCGTAACAATGACATGCCTAAAATCGAACGAGTAAGCTTTTTTGCGTAATTTTGTACGAAAACAATTCTGTGTCGGAGGCGAAATA